GGAAAAAAAAAATTCCATTTGAACTATCTTCACCAGGAAATGCATCCTAAATTCTTTTTGCAAAAAAATCCAAAGCTTTTCTTCTGCAAACTGCCCCCCCAAAACCACACCAAAACAAAAACAAAGAAAATGACCAAATGAGAGGGAGCATTGACATTATTTTTCCTATTTCTATAGAAGGAGTGTTGGGGCACCTGGGTGGCTCAGTCAGTTAAGCATCTGACTCTTGATTTTGTCTGGGGTCATGGTCTCCGGGACATGGGATCAAGCCCTGTGTTGGGCTCCATGTTCAGTGGGGAGTCTGCTTGGGATTCCCCCTCTCACTCTCCCTCTTTCCCTCCCACTGCTCATGTGCTCTTTCTGTCTCTCTCATAAATAAATAAATAAATAAATAAATAAATAAATAAATAACTTTTTTTTTTTAAAGGGGACTTCTTGGTGAAATTGATTGAGGAATTCAGATACTGAAATTTTGATTTTTCTTGCCATGTAAGACCAGAATCTTTTGTCATTTTTCCTAGGATTCTTCTCATAAGTTGGATTCTCTTTTTATGTGCAAATATCCATTTCCTTAAATTTTTTACTACATGGTTAATTATTCTATGATTTTTATGGCTGGTCTTTGAGGAACAGTCTTAATTAAAGCTTGGTGTTTCACTATACATTCTTAAGGTCCATTGCAAGTATATGCAAATATTTCTGTGTCTGATAAGCCCATTTAATATTTCAAACTAGAAAAATAGATAGAAAGGAAATTCCACATGGCTGTTACTGTATATTTTGAAGCTACAGTATAAGCATAGAAATATGTAGACCACAGGGGCTGAGACTATGAAATACACTCAAAGCAATCTTCAAGGAAGTTACACATATACTGTCAAAGCAAAGTCTGTTGCTCAATCCATAAGCATTGGCATATCCAGATATGGTTACACATAACTGGGGATTCTCCAAATTAACTTCCATTTACTAAATTGAAACTTACATATACAATATTAAAACTTATCAGATACAACTTAGAATTTGTTTAGGATTTAGACAAACATATTTTTCAAGAAGGAATATTTTACCAGTGTCATAAGAATTTGCTGGTAGTTGATTTTTTGTTGTTTTTATTATTTTATTGGGTGAACACTAAGGGTGTGCAAGCCTCTTGTGTACCTAGTTGATTTTCTGTCTTTATTAGCATTTGCTGATAATTAATAAGAATCTACCTGATAACATTAAACATGCAGAGTACCCAGTGTTCGGCACAAAGAAATTAAGATATGGTAGCTTTTAATTAGTTTTAATTAGTTTTTAATTGCTGTGGTTTTTGTTTAAATTTAGGACTTGTGTAAGATCCACTCAGTAAGTGATTTTCATAGTTTGTAGATTGAGTGTCTATATCCTTAACCTCAAGGGTTAATGTAGATTTAAATGTGAAATCAAAGCCTCAAGAGCAGCTGGGCTTTGTCTTGCTTAGGAATTCAGAGCACTGAATGGCTTCCTGTATTACAACTCCCTGAGTTGTACTGATTTTCATTCGCTTACAGTATGTATACCAGAATTGTCTATGATACTGGACAGTCATACCCTGCTCCACTGTCACCAGTGATATAGTAACTGAGACAGGAGCCAGAGTCAGCAATCTCTCAAGTGCTTCCTGCTCTCCCACACTGAGTAATGCCTGTATTGGTCAGTAGCTGGTCTGTTGAAGACATTCAAAAATGGCCAAGGAAGGGTGTGAGAAAAAAAATACATAAAGAGAGAGGAATGCAGATGAGTGATCAGAATTACATATAATGAGAGAATGATGCCGTTGACAACTCCTACTATGTGGCTCCAGTAATTCAGGTTATCAACACTACTCCTAAAGAAAGTGTCTTCGTATGAATAAATTAAATTTAATGAATTAAAATTACATAGGGAAAACTTTTATGAAAACTTTATAATATATGAAAGTTTATTTTAATATTATGGTAATAGTATGAAAAAGGCAAGAAACTGCATACATTAAGTGATTTACTATATTAAAAAATTCAGTGCTTGAAGAAAGCCAGAAATAAATACATCAAATAGTTACTAAAGTAACAAGGAAATAGCACTGATTTTAAAAAAATGCCTTTTCATTAGTTTCAGTGTTACCCATTTAAACATAGCACATGATGGAAATTTGTAACAAAGTTATTAATTCTCTAATTTTTTATCACTGGAACATAATTTTATCTTTTTGTGATCAAGTCCTTTGCTGGTGATCTTGTAATATATTTAAAATTAAGTTTAAAACCTATTAACTGTTGAGGCAATATGTTTTCACAGTCAACTGCTGGTATTGATCCCATTGGCTTTTATATTGTGAAGAGATGTATTGGAAAAGCTGCAAACTAACTTGATATTAGATGTATTTATTGCAGAAGGCTTTTTAGCAATCATCTGAGTAACTTTTTAAACCCTGCACTCTTAGCAAGTCTTAAATGGATGGTACTTAGTTAATTCATGACCCTAGGCCCAACTTAAGATTTTATTTATTTATTTGAGAGAGAGAGAGAGCACACACAAGCCGGGGGAAAGGCAGTGGGAGAGGGAGAAGTAGACTCCCCAATGAGAGGGAACCTGATGCAGGGCTGGATCCCAGGACTCTGAGATCATGACCTGATCCAAAGACAGATGCTTCACTGACTGAGCCTCCCAGGTGTCCCATAGGCCAGCTTATGGTATAGACACAGTGGACGCTGTGCCTACTCGGGCCTACGACACTTTTTGGAGCCCATGGAAATGTTTTAATTTCTTCTAAAATAAAAATTAAACAAAAAGAACCCATAAAAGGGCACCTGGGTGGCTCGGTGGATTGGGCCACTGCCTTCGGCTTGGGCTGTGGTCTAGGGGTCTTGGGATCGAGCCCCGAGTTGGGCTCTCTGCTCAGCGGGGAGCCTGCTTCCCTCTCTTTCTGCCTGCCTCTCTGCCTACTTGTGATCTCTGTCAAATAAATAAATATACTCTTTAAATAAAAACCATAAATATAATTGTATATATGTATATATGAAAAAATATATATACACATACATATGTATATTCATTTATTTTACTTATTTAAAAATTTTTAAATATTTTACTATTTATTTGTCAGAGAGAGAGTGAGAGAGTACAAGCAGGAGGAGCAGCAGGGGCAGAGGGAGAAGCAGCTCCCCACTGAACGGGGAGCCTGAAGTGAGGCTGCATCCCAGGACTCCAGGATTGTGATCTGAGCAGAAAAAAGACAGTTAACTGACTGAGCCACCCAAGTTCCCCTCATTTATTTCTTTTTAAATTGAAAAAAAAAATTTTAATGGTGGAAGGAGCCCACAGAAAGCAAATAGGTCAGACAGAGCCCTTGAAAGTTATAATGTGGTCCTGCATGACCCCTTAGTGTACAACTCTTTCCTTTCCCTTAATGATTCTGTGATGAATTTAGGAAAAAGCATCTGAGAATAACAGTAACTTTTGGATCTCATGAAAGATCCTAAGAAAATCAAAGTGCTAAGATGAAAAATATCAGCCCAGCAGAAAAATGCCGTTTAAAATGTGCTTTATGCAGGACGCCTGTGTGACTCAGTCAGTTAAGTGTCTGCCTTCTACTCAGGTCATGATCCCAGGATCCTGGGATTGAGTCCCACATCAGGCTCCCTGCTCAGTGGGAGCGTGTGCTCTCTCTCTTTCTCTGACAAATAAATAAAATCTTAAATTTAAAAAATAAAAGGATTTAAAAAATAGAAAAAAAATATGCTTTATGCAATAACCAACATCCTTCTGGTTATTAAGCAACAGCGGTATTACCTTGGCTCTACATAGCTGGTCCTTGGTTTGTAGAACAGGGATTTTTCACTGCAGCAATCACCTTTGCTTAGGTGTCTAGCTTATTGTAAGAAAACAACAGTTTTGGCAAAATATTTTTCCATGACGAGAACTAAAACTTTTTATCGACAGTTTTATTAGAGTATTTATATTTCATTGTATTATAAAATACACACAGCACTTGCCTTTTTGTGCCATTGTTTTGTTTTCTTTAAAATATTATTGATTTTCCCAAATGTTTTAGGTAATTGCCTTGGTGTTTTAAAAATAACAGTCATAGGTGCGCCTGGGTGGCTCAGTGGGTTAAAGCCTCTGCCTACGGCTCAGGTCATGATCCCAGGGTCCTGGGATTGAACCCCGCATCAGGCTCTCTGCTGAACAGGGAGCCTGCTTCCCTTCCTCTCTCTCTGCCTGCCTCTCTGCCTGCTTGTGATCTCTGTCTGTCGGATAAGTGGATAAAATCTTTAAAAATAAATAAATAAATAAATAAATAAATAAATAACAGTCATAGTGACTGAAGATTGAAGACAGCTCAGCATTTAAGTAACCAAATGTCTTTCCCTTTCTTTACCCCAGTATTTTGGGAGGCTATGAAATATTTTATGCTATGAGGTGAACTTTCCATACCATATAGTAGAATTGTACTGATTTTACTTTTTTTGCCTGCTTTATGTGGGCATACTTAATATTTTCCATCCTTCTCATGTTTTCCTTCATTATTTTTCCTCTCTCTCCTTTCTTCCTTGATTCAGTTCCACAAATACATATTATTTAAAGTTACTGTATAAATAACTTAGGGAAATTTACCTTGAAGTCTCTTTTCCCCCCCTTTCCTTTATTCTTTATTGTTTTCTTCCTATATTTGTTCTTCTTTCCCTCTGACTAGCTTCTCCCACCCTCGAACTTTATTTTTAATTTTTAAATTTAAATTCAATAAGCCAGCATATAGTACATCATTAGTTTCAGATGTAGCGTTCAATAATTTATCAGATGCATGTAACACCAAGTGCTCATCATATCATGTGCCCTCCTTAATCCCACCCTCCAGATTTAGTTGCCACACACACACACACACACACACACTCACTTGAGTGATCATACTGAAGGTTTGTGTATTCGCATGCCTGCATTTTGGAGATCTTTAATGTCAGGCAGAATTTGCTAACTTTCTGTTGATTGTTTCACAGTCTGCAAAGCGATTCAATTTGTTCCTGAGGCGACGTCTTATGGTAAAACAAGCCCTGAATGATGCTGCTTATGCTTTGGATGGCTGCAGTGATAGCCCCAGTCCCTTTTATTCAATGTATACCTGTGATTTGGGGGGACTTTGTCACTGATTCCCAGTCCCCAGGCAACTGAGATCTTAGAATGGTGATTCTTAATTGTTTCTGGATCTGATTAAAGCTGTGGACCCTTTTTCTAAAAAATGTATATGTGTGTCTGTTCATATACATATAATTTATGTATATATTATATATAATATATATATTTGGTGTGTATACATATTTCTAGTTATTATGTATACTAATATATATTATATGTTATATATAATATATATTTATATTTGGCATGTTCATATGTATACACACATACACACACATATATTACATACATATACACACATACACACAATTTGCCTACAGTTTTAGAAGTTTATGAGCTCCCAATAGGGATCCTGGACTATGAAACTTAGAACAACTACCTCATTCAAAGAAAAGGCACTCGGATGTTTGCCTCATTATAAATTGGCATTTCTAAGAACAAATCAAATATAAACACAGATAAGTAGACACATTGCAAAATATTATCTTATTGTCATGTCTTGAGCAAAAGAGAAGAATGATTTTTTTTAATAGCCTTCAGTTATATGTAACAAGGTTATCAGGCTTTTCTCCCCTAGTTTCCTTCAACCAGTATTTTGTTAATGGTACTAAGTCATGTGCCTCATGGTGATTGACAAGGTTACCAGTGAATTCTCCATATTTTTAAACATTTTACAGTTAATATTGGGGCATGACATAATGAAGGAAGTTTGGGTTTTCCTAGGTAGCATTTGGCTTTCAGAAGGGAAGTGTATATACCCATTTTGACTGAACACTCAGAAAAATTAGATTCACTATTCTTCTAGTTACTTCGTTTATTCCCTAACGGTTAAATACTCTGAGTGTGATTTCTGTTGATGTCTATGTACACGTCTTCTGTCATCAGAACTTCTAGGTGGACCTAGATTTAGCTTGCCAAACAATAAAAGCACTTGTAAATATATATTGTTTCAAAAATAATCTCTACCATGCAAATTTCAACCTTTACAAACTAAGAGCAAAATAATTATTTTCCCCCTAATTTTTTGCTTTGATTATGTGTAGTCCAATTAGTCTTTTTTTTTTTTTTTTTCCTGCCCCAGTTTGGCTTCCATGAGCTTTGGTGGATTTCATAGAATATGCCAATATTATGATGATCTACAAGAGCTCAAATGATTTTTTTGTTTTATTGCTTTTCCTTCCTGTAGTGATTTATATAAACCAAGAGGTAACATAAGAGTGAGTTTTCTCAGATTCTTTTACTTTCTTTTAGGAAAAGGGAGATGATTATGCGTCTTTTGTTAGGGCACAGAGAACTCAGACATAACATTTGAATTACTGTATTCTGATATTGACACTGGCGAGTCCCTGGCTGTGTGTTGTTTCTTTGTTTATTTTCGCACTCATTTCCTCCTGCGCATTGGGAGCTAGTTTTTCCCAAGACACACCAGCCCTGCCTTCACTCAGATAAAATACAGTGACTTTGTTCAAAGACCAGGTCAAACATGAAATTTTTGTCTTATACATGACTGGTCTGTACCCATTCCTTTTTAGGGGAGGTCTCCTTGGCCTGCCTTGAGTGAAAAACAGCATAGAGTGCCATAACAGAGACTCATAAACTCACATAAATACCAGTTATGAAATGTAAAAACATACAGTTCTCCATTCACAAGTTGGCTGAAGCACTTGGAAAATTTCCCATGTTAAATTATGCATCTTAGGGTTAGAGAGATCACTGACACCTACTGCATCATCTATTTGCATCATTCTAAGTATTGTATGTGGGATATTCCAAATATTACATATTGCATATTACAAATAAACTGAGGAAAGCCAAACTAGCCAAACATGAAATCTTTTCTTCTGAAGCTCTCTCGTGATTTTATGGTTCTGAAAGTGAAGAAATTAATGAAATATACAACATGGGAACATTGAATTTGTCCGTCTGACTATTACAGTGAGAGAGTTGATAACATAGATTTTAAGCAAAGGATGGATTCTGGCTCACTTGGGGATTGGTGTTGAAAGGAGATCTGCATGAGTGTAGTTTACTTACAGTAAACTCAGCTGGCAAGCTACCTGCTTTCTAATTTTTAACTGCACCTTGATTTTATTTTAACCCTTTGGAAGGTGAATTAAGGAGAGTGGCAGTTTTATGAAAATAGTATAAGCATGAGTCATCAATCAGTTTTCTTAGAGTGAGATGCATTAATTGATCTATAATTAATTACACCTCCAAAGTAGTGTGTGAACATGAATTATCTGTTGGACTAATTGGCATGTGTTTTAATGAAGATAACAAGGCTCCCTCTGAATATGAATTTTGGGATCAATGTATACATATGTTTATTTTATATTGTGGTATAATTGCAGTAGGGAAATGCTTAACCTCATCTTGAATCTTTCATATATATATAGATACAGATATCTATATCTATATCTATATCTATATATATATATATTCTTTATGGAATTTCACTTTCTAAAATAAACATAATCTGTTGATAAAAATTCTGGTGATTTGTCTTCACCTGACATTTCAAGACTGAAAAAAAAAAATTAAACCAAATTTTAGCTAATTCTTTTCATGTTTTTGCCATTTGAAAATAAAACTGTAAAAGTTGTGTCATTCATGTCTCCTGCAGTTTAAAAAAGATGAACAAAGCAAAGATTCTATCTTCTTCCGAGATGGGATTAGGCAAATTGATTTTGTGCTCTCTTATGTTGATGACATTAAGAAGGAAGCGGAACTAAAGGCGGTAAGTACTTAGGTGAGAGAAATGGGAATCATTAAAAGAAGGCGTTTCTGTAGTTCAACAGGGTTGTTCCCATGGAATCAAATTATAAAAGTCACTGAAAGCTGAGACTTGGTCAGAAACCTAAGAATGGATTGAATGTGTTAAGTCGATTTGGTTTTTTTGGACTTTTCTGAACCCTATCTTCTTTATCTTCTTCCAAGTGACTGGTACTTTTTAATATAACTCCGCAGTATTAAATGTAACCTTCAAAATTTGAGGTGTATGTCTGAATATGATATTCATTTTTTGCAGGCAGTTTTCATGTTGAACATGTATGGCTAATCCATGCTGTCTGAAATAGCCTTCACATTACGCTCTATTCCTTATCCTGTTTTCTTTATTATAAGACATCAGTTTCTGAGCTTAAGTGTATTCGTTGTTTAACTCGCTTACTGTGTCCAGCACCATAAATTAAGTTCATGAGACTGAGGACTATGTCCTGGTCACTGCTGTATACCCAGATGCCTTAAGCACCGGTGGCAGTATCAATGCTCGATAAATATTAGATATTTGAAATAGTGAATTGATAAATGAGTCTATGTGTGTAACATGTACACACATTTGCTAACTACTTACATGGGAAATAAATATCATATAAAATAAAAATAAAAAACAATAGATATTATCCCGTAAGACCCTGTCCCTTTCTTCCACCATTTTTCCCTGGAAGCCCTTCTATCTGGCCTCCGAAATCCACCCACTGTTATCATTTTCCTTTTCTCTAAATGTCCCCCTGAAAATGGACTCTTCACTAAGGTTCATTGCCTTCTCCAAGAGTCCGCTCAGCTAGTGGTTGGTTTTCACTCATGGGACCTTTTCTGGAGATGGGTAAATGCCTGCCCTCCTCCCATCTAATTGTTGATTACAGTCTGTTCTTCCTACCTTATCCCTAAAATTCCCTGAACTTTAACTCCCATCAGATTAATCATTGCTCTGCTTTGCTGCTGTCATTAATAATCTTTCCCTGGGTCTTCTATTTTATTTCTCAACAGTTTGAGCTCCTGGTTCATTCTCATTCTGTCCACCAATATTTCTCTTAAGACATTGATTATATAGATGACTGTTTTAGGATCCTATCCACTTTCTTCCTTGAGCTCCCTTTCCATTTATCTTAGTCTCTGGCTCTGCCATTCACTTCCCTAGAACTTGTCATTACTAATATCTTCAAGACTTTATCATCTTGTTCCGGGCATCTAACTATCTGACCAACCCCTCAAATATTTCTGACCAATACCCTTCCTTCAAGCAGGACCAGATAAGGTACAATTACCGTAAGCCCCTTTTCATTGCTGGTCCTTACCCACTGCTTTCCTATGCTGATCCAGCTTAAATCTCAGGGTCAACGAATGTAATCATTCTATTATGTTTGCCTTCAGACCCCTGCCCCCTCTCATTGTGCTTCCTTGGCAAAACAGCAACTGCAGTTAAACTCACCTTTCTACCGACTGGGCACCAGAACCAGGCAGAAAGGACACACAGTTCGCTTACAGATTTTAGCTCATGTCTGTGCGCATGGACCTCAGCTGAGTGGAGTCAACCATGCCTCTGCACTCATGCTTCACCTCCTTATTCAGTTCCCTTTCCCACTCTGCAAGAACAAAAACCTTCACTCGATCTCAGTTTCCCTGCCAGCTACTATTCTTTTCTCAAATCTCTTTTCTGTCCCATTTAAACCCATTCCCATCAGGCCATCACCTCAACCATTCTGCTCATTTTCATATAAATAAATTCAGTGATAGAGTCTCAACCCACATCTTACTTGACTTATTAGCAGCAGGTGCCACAGTTTCCCATTCCCTTCTCACATGTATGTTCTCCACTTGACTTCCAGAACTCCATATCCTCTTAGTTTTTCCCTTATTTTGTTAGTTGCTCCTTCTCAATCTTTTCCTCTCCCTGATCCTTTGTTATTGTGGTGCCTCCAGGTCCAATCCATAATCCTCTTCTTTTCCCATGCTGCATGCGTTTCTTTGACAACACATTCAGTCTCGGGCAGTTGTAAAACCACATCTGTGTGAATTCTGAAGTTCACCTTCCGGTCCATTCTTCTCTCCCAAATGACTATTTTTTGTCTCCACTTGGAAGTCTCATAGACCTCTCAGACTTGGCAGATCCAAAATGCGCTCCTGGACATCCTCCACCTCTCCTAAAATCCTGATCTATTTATAGGTCTTCCTCATCTACAGTTACTGATCCTACATTTCAGAAGTCTCAAACTATGTATTTTACATACATATGTATGTATGTATGTATGTATGTAATTTACACTGTGTTGCTAATGGTCCAGTTAACCACTTTTTAGCATATGCCCATAAAACTTAAATATCATGGAAATTTGATACCCACCATCATTCATTTAAAAAAAATATGTGTTACATGAAGAAATCCTTCTTCCACATTTGAAATTTTACATCATTTATTTTTCTCCTTTGCCTCAAATTTCCATCCCATTTTCCCCACTTAAATTTTTCCTGAGATAAATGTTTTACCTTTGGGAGTCTTTTGTTTGTTCATCTGTAAGTTTGCTGCAACAAATATATGTATACACATTGAAATGTTTTTATATCCCTTAACCAGAACAGTCTAAACCTTAAACGTTTCCTTTGGTTTTGAGTTTTTTAAACAATTGTGCAAGTATATCATTTATAAAGCATCATGAATGTGTTATAAAATTTGACAATCATCAAACATAGAAAAATAAACTCATCATAAGTTCATCAGTTAATGAGATGGACAGAGGGGCTTTAAATATATTTTATTTATAGATGAACAACAATTATCTCCCAAATAAGATGGTTCAATTTCAACTATATTTCTCCCTTGTTTTTACATGGTAGTATAAATTCAACTTGTTCAGGTAAATAAGTGGATTGAAATAGAAAGATTATTATTTAAGCAGTTTTAATCTCTTTTGGACTTCTGAATTCTCTCTCCAGATTATAGTGGTGTATCATAAAAGTAGTGTTTAATTGTCCATCGGCAACAGTCCTATTAGATCTTCACTTTTGTTGAACTCAGAGAATTGGCAGCCATGTAAATTGGAAAAGCATTTGTTACTAGAATGAAAAGAGTTGTTTGCTTTCTCAGTTCTGATAAGAGTATTTTGAATATCTCCTCGACTTTTCCTTGTTCCCTTCCCCCTCCCCCTCTTTTTCTTTGATCTTCTTGAAGTTTGCTATTTGCCTCAATCTGATAACATAAAAGAAGGGCAATTAGGAAGGGGTAGTGGAGAGGAAACTTTGTACCAGTATCAGACCTTTTCTCATCTGTAGCAAACTTTGCAAATGGAGAAAAAGAGGACATTAAATTATCTTTTACTCCTTGTAAAGTTTGAAGATATAGCAAGGTAGACCTATCCATTTGAAGGTAAACATTCTATATTATCATTATAAAAGCTTTTAAATTTTCAGTAACTATAGAATTCTTCACACTTAATTATAATGAAGGCCAAAGGATTTTTCAGCAATCAGTGCATTGTTTGAAGCCCACAAGTAATGATCGCTTTAATTTAATTTAATTTAATTTAATTTTTTTTTTCTAAGTGAAGCTATTCTGTCCTTAAAGATTAAAAAGTCATAATGATATTTTGGCTTAAAATTGAGTTAAATATATCATTTCTTTTTAAGAGTATTGCTGTGTTTGTCATACGGAGTCTTCCTAACTAGGAGCTGTTTATATCTCCCTGTTTACCAAGTTTTAAAAAAATCTCACTTAGTAAAGTTTTACACATATTTTCAGATGGAGGTCCTGCACATTTCCTGGAAATTATTCCTAGATATGTTAGATTTTTTATAGTTATATTGTGAATTTTAGCACAGGTGAATAGCAGGCCATGGTGCTAAGATGCAGGTAATACATAAAACACTTTTACGAATAACCATGGGAGGGGCAGAGGACCATCTGGAATAATAAGCCTGTTTTGTCACTGGGCAAAGAAGAGTGTCCTAAATAATTCTATCGATTTGTTTTTCCATAGGAAAGGAGAAAAGAATTTGAACAAAATCTTAGAAAAACAGGTCTTGAGTTGGAAATTGAAGACAAAAGGGTAAGTGTAGTTGTTAAGTTTTACCAGAGTCTTGGTGTTTAAAGCATCATTTTCTTCTACAGCCTTTGACCAGATGGACTTCATGTTTGGGAGTGATATAGTAGTTTCTCTGGCTACAGATACGTAGAGGTAGGGCCTGTGGTCTTCCTGGTAAATAAGTAGGTCAGCGCTCTGAATGTAAGATGATGAGTGGAACATTGTAAAAATAGACAGACATAATTCTACTCAGGGTGCAAAGAAAATGAAGACACAAGTATTTTCCATATGCCTCACTTTTAAGGCTGCCTGTTATCTCCCACTCTAGTTAACCTGGCTGTCTTATAACACAACCCACTATGTAAGCCAAGTTGACTTTCTCTCCTCATGAATATGGCAAATTCTTTCATTATTTTTAAAATTCTCTTGCCATGCACTGGTTTTCTAGAATTACCTTCAAAATGGTTTTTAAAGACCTATTTTGGATCCCCAACTGTCCATGAAACTCCGGTGTTCTCTAGTGCTTATCTTTTTTTACCGAACTAATAAATATGTGTTCTACCATGCAATGTGTAACTAGGTCATTCTTCTGTGTCCTGAACCCTTATTACTTAAAAGTGCTTCCTGTAGGTATAGCTGGGGAAGAAGAGTAAGTGTGTCTTATACTTTGTATGTATCCCTCATATACCCTAAGCACAGTTCTGAGCTCATGGTTAGTCACTAATAACTTTAGAGTTTGCCCAGAATCCCATATGTGTCTGTGGATTTGGGGCTAGTGTACATTGACTCTTAAATACATTTTTTAGAATATTCTTTCTCTGTCACACACACACACACACACACACACACACACACACACACACGTATATGTCAATATAATATACAGATATGTGTTTTGAGCATTTGTTCCTCGAGAAGTTTTGCTGAAATTTTTCAATAAATTGAAAATGCCGTGACATCATTAATTTGTTTGAGATTTTATAAAACTTTGTTTCTTTAATCAGATTGGTATCAAATAAATCATGATGCTGCCTGTTATTTTGCCTCCTTTTTCGACAGAACTCCGAAGATGGAAGGACTTATTTTGTCAAGATCCATGCCCCTTGGGAGGTACTGGTTACTTACGCTGAAGTGTTGGGAATCAAAATGCCTATTAAAGAGAGTGATATTCCTCCAGCTGAGAATATCCCCTTTAGTTATATGCTCGGGCCTCTGAAGCTCCCAAAGAACGTGAGGCACCCTCGTCCTGAATATTTCACTGCTCAATTCACCAGACATCGGCAGGAACTCTTCCTCATTGAAGACAAGTCAAGCTTCTTTCCATCCTCAATGAGAAACAGAATTGTAGGTAGAGAAGACCTTTGGTCACATCCCTTGAAGTGAGGCATGTGTGCCTGCGTGTGCTTGTGTACTTGTGCGTGTATACATGTGTGATGCTCTGTCTGCACCGTGTGTCTGCATACAATTTGATAAGTACATGAGCAGGTTCAAAAGTCCATCAGGACCATGTAAATCTGTTCCCCTACTGACTTATCAAGCTTGTTTAAACACCAAAGTTTGACAGTGCAGACATAGTTAAGATAGAGGCTTCATGTAATACTGGGGAAAACTCTTAACTGAGAGCCAGGGCTTAGGTTTAATTCGTTCTTTGTAAAATGGTTTTATAAACTTAGAGTTGGGTTTTATAAGCACAGTGCACAGCAGGATGAATATTGGCCATTCCAAATGAAAATGGAATTTTAAAATTTCTTTATATAGAGATAGCATTTGAGAAACCTCAAAACTTTCTCCTCTCATTTAAAACCGTTTTCAGTCTAGAATAATAATATTTCCTTTCTATTTGTATTCCTAGCATCTTTACGTTTCCTGTGAAAAGCCTCTCCCCAAAAGACTCATGCTTCCACTACCACTGTTTCCTCATGTTAAGATAGGAATAAAGTCTACCTCATAGGGTACTCTGAGAATTACATAACTTAAAGTATGAAAGACCAGTATCTGAATATACTAGGTGCTTAGTAAGTGTTAGGTATTATTATTATTGACCTGACTTTAGAGGGGAAAAAAGTTCTGGTTCTTTGGTGTCCCGTCTCCTTGTTGCCTATGAATGTGATCACCAAGGTTCTAGCAATCACAGGATCCTCCTCCTGGAGGTCACTTACTCTCTTTCTGGATTTGAGACCATATTCCCTTTAGGTTCAGTACTCTTCAGTATTTAAGAAGGATTTTGAAATAATCATTTTTCTAGTTTCTTTCTTTTTTTTTAATCACAGACAGGAATACTAAACAAAATACAATGTGTAGGATTTACATATAAAAATAGGAATCTACAAACCCAAAAGTGTTCTCCTTTTTCTTAACAGAAATAAAATACTACCACCACAACCACAACTACAAACCTGAGAGGCAACTTTTAAGGGAATGAAGAGCATATGACATGGAATCAGAAGACCGGGTTTCAAGTCATAACTCTGCTGCTTTCTCAATGAGATAACCTCTCTTAAGACAGAGATAATGATGGTCAATACTAGCATTATTGTCAAAGCCAAATGAAAGACTCCGTGTGAAGCACTTTGCAAACTGTAGAGTACTTTGGATAGACTTACAATGTTAAAAAGTAGCTAAGGAAAGGCCAGTGAACCAGGAGGAGTATTAGGACCCTCATGAGGTATAGACATATCAGTATCCATTTCTCTTGTTCTGTGTAAAGAGTATGGATGCCTTAGATGAATTCAGCATTAAAACAAATTTTTCCTCCTTCACAGTGGAGCAGAACTATTTTTGCTCTGTTGAAGAAGCTATTGGGGAGATTAACTTTCCTTCCTATCCTCATCCAGGACTCTCGAGTTTATGTATGTACACATGGAAAGTATTCCAAGAGCATCTTACACTGGTATTGAATTTCATACTTCTCAAAGTGTCTTCACAACCATCATGACATCTGAGCCTCATGATGTATATTTTGTAATATCTAGCATGTGTATATATTCCTCATTCTGAAAGCTATTAACTTTATTCCCAACTTTCCTGATTTACAAACAATTCTGTAGTTTTCAACCTGGTATTTACATATTTCAGCATTTATGTAAATTTTTCTGCAAAATTGATACCAGATACAAAATTTCTGGATCTAAGGGCACACACATAAAAAAATTTTATATTGCACTATCTCTCTTTACAAAACGATGTACTAGTTTAGAGTCCTAGTGACAATGTATGAGAGTGCTCTGTGTTCCACATCTTTCTTAACATTAGAATTTACCGATCTTTCTTTTTCTCTCTTTTTTAATTGTGACATAGTATGAATAGAGGTAGGCCTCCAAGTTGTAACTGAATAGCTTACACAGCTGTGTAACTACCACCCCTATCAAGGAGACAAACTTGTTAGCCCTCCAGAAGCCCTCCTAACTTCCCAGTCACTATTCCCATCATCTTCAGCAGAAGCGGACTTACATTTTATAAAAATGGAATCATGCAGTATATATTGAGTCTTCAGGCTTCTTCGGTTCAATGCTTGTTTGGGTGATTTAACTCTTGTGTGAGTTTTTGTGCATTCATTTTCATTACTTTGTACTGAAGTTTATTTGTGTATGTGTCATTATGGTTTTAATTTGCGTTTCTCTAATGTGTGTTTGGATGTGGTATGGCTTATTTAGATAGGCATTTTTGTGAAGTCTTTTGTCTGTTTCTCAGTTAGGTCTTTCCTGGTTGATTGGTAGAAATCGTTTATGTATTCCTATGCTTATCATATACATTACTGATCTTTTCCTACCCATGCTTCCTTTTTCTTTCTTTTAATGGATTCTTTTGCTAATCAGATGTTTTTAATTTTAATGTAGTCCAATTTCTCAGCCTTTTCTTTATGAATCATGCTCTTAATATTTTAACTACCACCAAGACCATGATGTTAATTTCCTATGTTATTTTTTAGAGGTTGTATTATTTTACTTTCCACACGGAAAGCTAGTGTCCACCTGGAGTTCATTTTTGTGCGTGGTGCCATTTACCACTGTACGTGTGATCCTTCAGTTTGTCATAATTATTGAAAACATTCAACTTTTCATACCGTTTTTCAGTTCCACCTTTGTCATACTCAAGTTTCTGTATACTCATAGGTCGAGTTCTGGGTCCAGTTCTGCAGCTTTGATCTTTTTGTCTCTTTTTGTATAGATACTGACAATGTTGAACTTTACTTGAGTTCTTAGTCCTAGAAAACAGGGACCGTTAAAGAAATCCCCCACTCTTCTCATTCTGGGAAACTGTTTCCTGTAAAGGACTACCGTCCACCGTAGGAGTATTCCTGGATAACCACTGCCCCCATCTCCCATTTGACTTGACAGCACTACTTGCCACATAGTTTATCATAAATTCACCTGGCGATGGAAGTGTCGATCTATGTTAGTTGTTTTTAAAGCAAGAAAAAATTAAGCTTCTCACATCTCTATGCCAAGCAAGTAGTTACAGGTTGGAGTCAGGTGCGCAAGTTACCTTACCGGTAGAGCCAGGGCTGTAGGGATGCTATCTTGCTTCATGTTTACATTTAAAAGGGATGGCTCCTAGAAAACTTAAGGGAAAACACTTCCTGGGTTGTAAACTGTAAGGAGGCTTATTTAGCTTTGCTGCAGATTTACATAAATCTCAAAGGGATAGAGAAAGAATTTATACTTACAAGTTCCCTACAGGAAATGCTCTGAGAACAACATTTCGGCACCAGAGAAATTTCAGTTCTTTTAGATTTATAATTAGCCTTGTACTTTCTCCCTTTTGTAATTAGTTTGTAGCAATAAGAGTCAAACAGGCCCTCCATATTCTCACTCTTGGTCTAATAAACGGCCAGCTGAACTCTTCATCCCCACCAATCCATCAAAACAAAGTATGTGTTCGCTGAATTGACCTAACATTAATTAAACTTTGCTCCCACAGGAACCTAAACTGTGTTGTACCCTTAACCCAGGCCAACACTGGCTTGTATAATAGCCTTTTCTTAGCACAAAGAAGGACACTCCCTGAACCTGGCTGGCCTCTCCCAAGTGAATGAGTGAAGGAGTAAGTGAATGAATGAATGAATAAAATGAAAAGTCCCTTTCTGCCTGACTTTTCAGATGTTCACAGGTCTCCCTATCACAATAGTTTCCCTCCTCCTCTTGTTATAATCTTTTCACATAATATTTTTTCTAAGTCCAGATTTTCTATTTGACAGTACCGTGCTGTATTTTTTTTTTTAACCATGGCTTCATAATAAGTCTCAGTATCTGATGGAATAAAATTTTCTACTTTGTTAATACCCTAGGACAGAGTTCTAATTTTGGTGACCCTTTCCTAAAGAAATAATCCAAAGTATATAAAATAATTAATATCTATAACATAAATAGATAATAAGTATCTATTTATTTATAAAAATTAAAACTGCTTTCATAAATTGTGATATATTTGCCAGCATAAAATAGTAAGCTGCACTTAAAGGTGTTACCGTATTAGCTAATGGTGATTCAAAAACAACCAGCACTCTAGCACACCAGCCAACAAACCTTTAACATGGGAGATGTAAGAAACGGGAGGTAAGGGAAATAGATCGAGAACAGTGCTGAAAAGACCAAATTCAGCAGAAAAGCAGAAAATCTGAAAAGTTGCTGGAAAACAAAATGCAGGTAGAATTGACATGGCAGGAATATGAAAGCAGAGGACTCCAAAGCCCAAATTATATGGAGGAAAAAACTGAATGCAAAGAGACAGGTGATTGCAAAGTAGTTGTAGATATATGGTAATCTTGTGTTAATAAATTCAGGTGTCAGGAAGGGGCCCTGCAGAAATCCTCAGAGTAATTGAAGTAATCAGCCTAGCTAAGTATCCGTTCTATCCCACGTTCCCCCAGACAAACCATTAGTGGTGATATTACACTCCAAACTTGAAGGCCTGATTGTAGAATTTTGGCGCAAGACTTCCAGAGGAGCTTGGGACAGGAGAAGCAAAATAAATCGTGATCCATTCCTGCCTCTCCCCAAAGGAATGGAGAATGTTCATACCCAGGAGCTAACCTACCTACAGACTCCACACAAGCTCACCCTCCCCATCTTCCCTCAAACAATAGAGGGAAGGTTCCTTCTGTAATCGGAGCCTGTATCTACATTCAGACAAAGTTGGCCATTGCTAAATTGGGGTGGGAAAAAATATGGATAGCATAAAGTTCTGAAATGTGTGTGTAATGCTTACCTCATAGGTTTATTACATTCTCTCACGATGTCCTTTTGGCGTAGAAGATGGGAAGAAAAAGTTTGGGATTGAAAGACTGCTAACTTCTAATACTTACTCATCTGCCTATCCACTCCATGATGTAAGTATAAGATTGGTTTTGAAATACTGAGCCCATTTTCCCTCTGACATTAAAAGGTCACCTTGTTGGGAGAGAGACTCTTCGCTTTGCTTCCTCTTTTATGACAGGTTACTTAATTCTTCCTCATGTTGGTAGAGAGATATATAGTGGGGTAAAGAACACTATACAATGGATTCTCTGTCAGTCTTTCTTCACCAAAAGGCTCATTTCCTTTTAGAAGATTTTGAGGATTGTGGGTTTGTTTTAGGGTATTAATTCTCTTCTTACTATTACCAGGTCATTAAGCCAAGCTAATATCCTCAGGCAACAGCAACTTTAATCTGTACATCCAGCCTCCCAGTAGAGTCATTTATGATCGCTAGAAAATCAAGGGTACTTAGCTGTGGTGAGAGGTAGTTGTAACTTACTGTTAGTTTTAATTTTTTTTCTTCTTTTTTTCTATCCTGAGTGCTAGGTTAGGTACTGGATTTTCTGTGCATTAAAGAATCATTTTTCAAGGTACCCAAATAGGCTGCCTTTTTATTTATTTCATTTCTCAAGATTCAGTAGGATTAGCTACAGAAGAAGAAAAGAAAAAAAGTTGGAATCTAGGTGATAAAAAATCTTATACCTTATCATATCGTGATTTTCTCATGTGCTTAATTTTCAATTGGATATTTATTTATGTTGTCTTCAGCAGTTCACTTGTCTGGGCATACAGTTAAAAAATGTGTTGAACTATGATGTGTAGACGGTACTCTATGTCTCAAAGGGATATTATTAATAAGGCAACTCAGTATGTAACAATGGGGGAAATGCATGACACAGTACTGTGGCTCTTAGGTGCTAATGTTTGCGATGCATGTTTTAAATTTTCTGGGAAATTGTGTCAGTGATTACCAGTGAGGAACAGACAAGTCTGGAAGAAATTTCTGTCACAGTAGTGTGACTTTGGATCATTCACTGAACCTTGCTTGAGTATAATTTTCCCATCTGTAGAATAAAAGTATTAGTGTATTTCTAAAGTCCCAGACAGTCATACTGTTAGCATAAATCCCTGAGCTGTGAATATTCTGGTAGGATTTGAGTAGAGAAGAAAGGGCATTCCACAGGAAAGAAGAGCTGGAGTCAAGCCAGAGTCTCGAATTTTAACTGGGATTTTTAACTAACTGGGTGGAGGAATCTTTTTTTTTTTTTTATGTTTTATTATTATTTTTTTATTTCTTTTCAGCATAACAGTATTCATTGTTTTTGCACCACACCCAGTGCTCCATGCAATCCGTGCCCTCTCTAGTACCCACCACCTGGTTCCCCCAAACTCCCACCCCCCACCCCTTCAAAACCCTGATTGTTTTTCAGAGTCCATAGTCTCTCATGGTTCACCTCCCCTTCCAAATCTTTTTTTTTTAAAGATTTTATTTATTTGACAGAGATCACAAGTAGGCAGAGAGGCAGGCAGAGAGAGATCCCCTTCCAAATCTTAATGATTATCACTATTGTTATAGTTTATTATAGATTTTAGGAGATAATTGTACATCAATGGAATATGAAAACTCAAATCAAAAGCAAAAGAAAAATTTGCCTCATTCACTAATCTTGTAGAAGCTGTGTTTATTTACTTCACCCCTGTCTTCTGCTATGTCATTCAAGTACTTTCTTTTTGAACATCTGTAGGGTCAATATTGGAAGCCTTCAGAACCTCCCAATCCTATCAACGAGAGGTACATACTTTTCCAGAATTGGGCTCGGTTTTCCTATTTTTACAAGGAGCAACCTTTAGATTTGGTTAGGTAAGTTCCCTACATACTATCAAACTGATTAAAACTTGATGATGTGGTTTTTATTCACGTGGCATCACATTCCCTTTCTTTTACCACTGTCTTCATCCACGGCGTGTTACATCTTCCCAGGTTTGTATCTACACTGCCACTCAGTCAGTCGTGACGAGAATGCCGTTGCCAGAGTACTTCTAACCACCCTGCAATGGTTGCTGGGTAGTTCAGAGGTTGAGTGTTGGTAGTTAGGTAGGCTGGGTTCAGATCCAAGTTCTTCCTCTTAGAGGCTACATAAACTTGGCCAAATTACTTAACCTCTGTGAGGCTCGTCTGTAAAGTGGGAGTAACAATGATGCTTTCCTTAGGGGGCTGTTTAATAATGAAATGGGACATGAATTTTTTTTTTTTTTTTAAGCATAGGGGCTAGCACTTAGTGCCTCGTACAAATTAGTTTTGTTTTGTTTTGTTTTTCTCTGAGTCCAGAAAGCTTTTGTATGGAGGTGTGTGTGTGTGTGTGTGTACGCACACACGTGCAAATCTCAGAGATCCCTGAAGGCTCTTGTTCCTTGACCTCAGTTCTTTAGACCATTTCATTGGCTAAGCAAGAAGACCTGTGTTGCAGATTCCTGCTTTGAGCCCTAACAATGCCCCGTGCATACAGGGTGTCAGGAGACTCGTGCTATGATCTCAGTAAAGGAACAGCCCGGTGAGTGCTCTGGTTGCTCCACACCTGGAGTTCCGCTCGGTGATTTATGCCGGCAGTGCTACGCTAGCGCACCATCATGGTGTCCCTTTTAGGAGGCCGGTGTTGGCGCACACATCCAAATCAGCTGAAGGGCTTTCTCGCCAGTTTCCTTTAAGATAAGTAAGGGGAAACTTTTAAGAATAAATGAAAGGCAGATAGCATAGGTAAGCTGGTACTTCCTCTAAACCATTATATGAACTCTTCGTTGGGTGGATGTTTTATTTGTTTTGAATAATGTCCATTTAATTTTCTAAATGACAAAAGAAGCACATTTATGAACCTTCAAATCGTAAAGAGATGCGCAAAGTCTTAAGTGAAATTCTACCTCGGTTGAACTTTGTAGAGGGAACTGCCCTTGATTTGGTGTTATCTACTCAATTCTATTTTTATGTGCATGCATAATAAAATGCACATGCAATCGTATTTTTTTCCTTAGAAAAAACAACGGCATCTTTATTTACTTTTTTGGCCATTTTCTTTTTGCTCTAAATAATATATTATTGGTACTCCTTCTGTGGATACATCTAGATCTATCTCGTGCTTTTTAACAGAACACAAAGTGCCATATTATAAATGTTTCATAATTCACTTATCTGTTCTTCTGTCGGAAAACAGGCTGTCCCAGATTTTTTACTGTTACAAACCTGATGCCAAGGATATTTACAGACATCAGGCCGTTGGAGAATGCTTTCAGAGCATATTTTTAAAGAAACGTGGTCATCATTTAATTTTTTTAATTTTTTTATTTTTATATAATGTATTATTAGCCCCAGGGGTACAGGTCTGTGAATCACCAGGTTTACACACTTCACAGCACTCACCATAGCACATACCCTCCCCAGTGTCCATAACCCAACCACCCTCACCCTACCCCCGTCCCCCCGGCCCCCCTCAGTTTGTTTTGTGACATTAAGAGTCTCTTATCATTTGTCTCCCCCTCAATCCCATCTTGTTTCATTTATTCTTTTCCTATCCCCCCAAACCCCCCATGTTGCATCTCCACTTCCTCATATCAGGGAGATGATATGATAGTTGTCTTTCTCCGACTGACTTATTTCGCTCAGCATAATACCCTCTAGTTCTATCCACATCATTGCAAATGGCAAGATTTCATTTCTTTTGATGGCTGCATAGTATTCCATTGTATATATATACCACCTCTTCTTTATCCATTCATCTGTTGATGGACATCTAGGTTCTTTCCAGAGTTTGGCTATTGTGGACATTGCTGCTATGAACATTCAGGTGCATGTGCCCCTTTGGATCACTATATTTGTATCTTTAGGGTAAATACCCAGTAGTGCAATTGCTGGGTCATAAGGTAGCTCTATTTTCAACTTTTTGAGGAACCTCCCCGCTGTTTTCCAGAGTGGCTGCACCAGCTTGCATTCCCACCAACAGTGTAGGAAGGTTCCCCTTTCTCCGCATCCTCACAAGAAACGTGGTCATCAGAATGAAGGTTTACATAGTTTCTAGTGTTCAAAATATATAGAAAATATGTATTCACTTAACATTTTTAAACTATCAACAGGTGTTTCTGCTATGAATATTCTCCAAAGGTTCGTACTTATCACCCTACAAACACATTACCTGTTGGGTCAGTGGGGGCTAGATCTGTAATACTTTGTTAGCCCTTGCAAATTTCCTTTTACAACAAAATGAAAAGTCAAAAAAAAAAAAAAAAAGAAAAGTCAGATATTTAACCAGGTGACAGTATCTAGCATAAATTTAATAACTTTAAAAAATTTTTCATCTTATAATATTATAGCAAGCTATACTGCTTTTCCATTTCAATAATGAAATGGTATTTTTAAATAAATGTAAAATTTTAACAAAATTTAATTAAGGAACTGATAACTTAGGTGAAAAGTCTTTAACTAGTTAACTGAAAAGGCAAAAAAGAAAACACTATGTTATCATAGAGATAACAACTGCAGAAAATAGCTATTATCCCTAGGGTTTCATTTTAGTGTTTATGTAAGATAATATTCTTTTTCTAGGAACAGACAATGAACTATTTAGGGGTAAAGGACCATGACATAATCAACCAACTTACTTCCAAAGGGCTCATCAAAAGATATCTACATCTATATCCATATCTCTATATATCTCTATATATTATCCAAAGATAGATATTGATATATAGATACAGATACACAGATAGACAAACATATATATCTCTTCTGTAGAAGAATGTTTAGGAGAAAATTTTTTAAGGCCTGGGATTTGGTATGGACTTTTCAGAAAAGAAACAAAAAGTACAATTTAAAAATACATAAATTTGACTTCATAAAAATAAAAAAAAGTGCTCTTTAAAAGACACCATTATAGGGACGCCTGGGTGGCTCAGTTGGTTAAGCGGCTGCCTTAGGCTCAGGTCATGATCCTAGTGTCCTGGGATCGAGTCCCATATCGGGCTCCTTGCTTGGCAGGGAGCCTGCTTCTCCCTCTGCCTCTGCCTGCCGCTCTGTCTGCCTGTGCTCGCTCTCTCTCTCTCTGACAAATAAATAAAATATTAAAAAAATAAAAAATAATAAAAGACACCATTATAAAAATAAAAAGGCAAACCACAGACTGGAGAAAATACTTGAAAGACACATATTGACAAAGGACATCTAGAATATTTAAGGAACTCTTACAATTCAATAAGACAAAATCATTAAAAATGGACAAAAGATTATAAAAGATACTTCACCAAAGAAAGATATTTATGGATGGCCACTTAGTAATCAAGAAATACACAGCATCTGTATCCACTAGAGGAAAAAAATTAAAATGTCTGTCACTGAGATACTAGTATACCACCCATTCTAATAGCTAAAATCTGAAAGATTGACAGTAGTAAGTGCTAACAAGGATGTGGAGCAACTTGAAATCTCTAAGTACTGCTGGAATGCAAATGGTGGAGCAACTCTACTAAAAAATTTGACAGTTTCTTATCAAGTTAAATATGTACTTTTTGTATGACCCAACAATTCCCCTACTAAGTCTTTTCCTAGGAAAACTGAAGCACATGTCCACAAAAACACAATTATTTGAGTGTTTATAGCAGCTTAACTCACAAGAAAAAACTGGAAACAACCCAAAGGTCCATCAATTGATAAATGGTTAAACAAATTATCATGTATTCACACAATGGATTTTTTTCCTCTGGGATACATTACTGATACATGCAACATCAAAGGATGAATCTTCAATGTATTTTGCTAAGAAAAAGAGGCAGGCCACGAAAGGTTGCATAGTCTTGTTTCCATTTATAAAACATTATTCTGGAAGAGGAAAAACTATAGGCACCTAAATTAAAGTAGGAGTTGCCCAGATCTGGGTATTGGGGAAGGGGTTAAGTGCAAGGGTCTCAAGGGAACTTTTTGAGATGATGGTAATGCTCCATATGTTGATCGTGCTGGTGGTTATGTTGCAGGGTTCTTGTCTCATGGAGTTGAAGTATAAATCTTATGGAAAATAAGGTGAACTGAAAGTTTATTAAGGGAAGTTGAGAACAGAAAGGAAGACTCTCTAGAGAGGGGTCCCAAATGGGTGGCCACTGAGGGCTTTCATGGTTGGTCTTTTATAGAAAACTGACCAGGGAACTTGGCAAATATCTTGTCTATAACATTTAAGACAAACAAGGTAGACTTGCAAATATTGTGAAAATATCTCATCTACATTTAGAACAAAGGGGATTTGTTATTTTTTCTTCTCTCTAGTTAATATCTTGTGCATAATATTTTTCCACATCTGGAATTTCTTTTTTCTTTTTCTTTTTTCTTTTTTTTTTTTTTAGATTTTATTTGTTTGAGAGCAAGAAAGAGCATGAAGGGGGAGGCAGAGGGAAAGGGAGAAGCAGACTCCCTGCTGAATAGGGAGCCTGAGGTGAGGCTCCATCCCTGGACCCCAACATCATGACCTGAGCCAAAGGCAGACACTTAACTGACTGAGCCACCCAGGCGCTCCAACCCATCTAGGATTTCTGTGAGCCTGGTCACGTAGTCCCCTACCTAGCCTCACCTGTCTCTTACTCAGTTACATGAGTGTGTGCATTTGAACTTATCAAATTATACACTTAGGTATATTTTATTATATATGAAATATACCCCAATCAATTTGAATTAAAAAAAAAAAAACACTCCTCTTAGAAGATTAACTTTCTGGGATAGAGGGTGAGATGGGGTTTGGTGGAGAAACTCAGAGAGGGGAGGGGGAATTCCTTCTTGGAGAAATGAGCACCACTGGCTTGGAGGAGCTGCCATCCTTACACAGTGACCTGGAG